ATTTAAAATAAAAAAATCTATACAATAAATTGCTATAAGTGGCATTGATTAAAACAGCCGAATGCGGTTAAATATTTTTATGCATTTCTATATCAGTCTGGTCCATCATGGTTGAATACTATTAAAATTCTAGCAATTTCTTTTTTATTAATTAATTTTATTGAAAAACAGATAGCAATGAGTCAGTTTCAATAGCAGTTTCATCCTTAGGATATTTTGCATTTTATACATATATATGGAAAGTTATACATGTCCAAAGAAAAACAATCGCGCCTTTTCTTCCATTCATGCACTCTTGAATTATCTTTTAATTTTCCTTTCATGGTCTTGAATGCTGTTTGATTTCAAGATATGGTACAAAATTTGGGATAGCTGCATGTAAATGTACAAATGAGGCCAAAAGATGGTAACTGAGAAGGTCATGGTAGTACATGCCTATAATCCTAGCACTATGGGAGGCTAGGACAGGAGGATTACAAATTTAAGCTCAGCCTAGGAAACTTAATGACCTAGAGGAACTGTATCTCAAAATTAAAAAAAAAAAAACATAGACAGTGTTGATTCTAGGTGAAAAGGAGACTAAGAAGTGATGGAGGGGAAAGGAAGGCAAGAAGCTGAAGAAAGAATTAAAATGTGTTATGGGCACAAACTAGTGCCCCCCGCCCCAAAGAATGGGATCATATGTACTATGTACTGACATAAAATAAAAATTGCAGGAAACTTGCTTCAGCTGGGGATGTAGTTTTGTACAAAGGTCCTGAGTTGAGTCCTCAATACTGAAAAAAATAAAGGAAAAGTTTCTTAAAAAGAAATCAGTGGTAAATGAGCCATTCATGTTGTACTACTTACTTAAATGTAAGCCTAAGAAAATATTAGTAGTTTGACTGGACATGCTGCAACACACTCTTATAATCCTAGTACTTGGAAGGGTGAGGCAAGAGGATCACTTTGAGTTCAAAGTCAGCCTTGGTTACATAATTGAGTTCAAGGTCAATGTGAACTGTATAGTGAGACCTTGTCTCAGGAAACAAACCACAAAAATGTTAATAGCCTAATTTTGATCCATTCTCTGAAGTGAATGAAGACTTGGCTATTTTGGCACTAAGTACAGAGAAGTACACATAAAGAGATTATGTAATATAGTAAAAGGAGCATTAGTGTGACTATTTGGAAGGCCAATTTTAAACTGAAACCCAATCATTATTTGACCATGTTGTGTTGGTACAGTCAGTTAAGCTTTCTTAATCCTAGTTCTCACATTGTTTAAAAGCAGATGATCTTGGGGCCAGGGAGATGGCTCAGTGAAATAAGCGCTTCCCTGGCAAGCACAAGGGCCTGAGTTCATTCCCCTGTTCCCCCCCACCCCAAAAAAAAGCCGATGATCTGCTTTGTTTAAGGTTCACTCACTTCAATTCTGTGATTCCGTAGCTAGGTATCTAGAGCAAGTTCCCACATGACTAAATTTAGTTGTGAAGCAATGAAGGTGTTCTTCTCATAATATTGATGTGGCTTGTTGGAATTGCTTCTCTTGTAATTCTAAATGTTAAACCCTTTACCTAACGCCCACATACACACAACCTTCTCACATTAAACAGTTCCCTCAGTTAGTGGTATATGCTTTTATTATAGGAATTTTACAAGTTTCTAGTTTTGAACTTGACCTTAACAATATGCTTTAAAAGTATGTTGGGGGCTGGTGAGATGGCTCAGTGGTCTAAAGCACCTACTTAGAACAAGCTTAGCAAAGCACAGGGACCACGGTTCAATCCCCCAGCACCACATG